ATTATGGCTAATTCTTCATCAGCCGTTAGATATACAGCCTAAGCCGTGTACTGGGGTGGTTTGGTGTAGTGGTTAAAGCTGAAGTCACTAAACTTTGTGTTTCTTTGACTTAAATTCATATGTATACAAACGTGGAAGAGCAGGAAAAGGACTGAGTGACATATATATATATATATATATATATATATACTGTATATGATGTTTATTTATATATATATTTTTCTTAATTTATTGTTTATTTATTTATAAAAAAATAACCCTGAAAATGATGTATATTATAAATAAAAGTATAATGTATTTTTATAAATAATATAACAAATCCTATAAATCATAATCATATAAATAATATTTAATAATATCAAATAATATCAATTAAATATTTTAGTGTTATTTTTAGTAATTTTTTTGTGAGTGAGTGCTAAAGTGCTAAAAGTGCACAAAATAAGCATGTCCAGTGTGTTTTTAACATGAATTGGAGTATGTCAGAAAATAAAATGAAGATTCTAAAATATGTAGAGAAGATTTACCCATTTAAACTTGTTTTTAATTATTCAGTTTGGGTACAAGTATGGCGTATTTTAAAAAAAGAACATTATAAACAGCGAGTTCTATATCAAAGTATTACTGAAACGACATGATCTGACTTGTTTATGTTGTTTACCATTTACATGCGAATTCCCATGTTAACAAGCTTTCAAGACTTTAAAACTTTCAAGTTTATAACTTCTAAAAACAAATTTATAGTTGTCTTTGTAAAGAAAGTGAACATTAAAAGCACTCTAACAATATCATCTATTCACCCTCAACTGTCGTTCGTAGAGGTGTACGGCGTCTTCAAAGGCCCACCGAAATGAAACAGCTACAAACGTGATGGCGATTCCATGTGTGCGTCGGCCGCGGTTGTAAAACGGTGATGTCAGCGCAGACCCGGCCGCTCCGTCACCCAAATAAACCTCAAAACCACCGTTCTGCCGGCATTAGGCCGCTTTCAGGAGCCGTTGGTGTTGGATTCAGATCTGTCAGGCTCTGGGCTTGATTATTTAGGATCAGTTTTATTGCCATGGAAATTATGGCTAATTCTTCATCAGCCGTTAGATATACAGCCTAAGCCGTGTACTGGGGTGGTTTGGTGTAGTGGTTAAAGCTGAAGTCACTAAACTTTGTGTTTCTTTGACTTAAATTCATATGTATACAAACGTGGAAGAGCAGGAAAAGGACTGAGTGACTCTAATAATTGTTGAGCCTTACATACATGTGCACACAAATAAATATAAACCATAATTCATGTTTCATATATATATATATATAGATTTACCCATTTAAACTTGTTTTTAATTATTCAGTTTGGGTACAAGTATGGCGTATTTTTAAAAAAGAACATTATAAACAGCAAGTTCTATATCGAAGTATTACTGAAACGACATGATCTGACTTGTTTATGTTGTTTACCATTTACATGCGAATTCCCATGTTAACAAGCTTTCAAGACTTTAAAACTTTCAAGTTTATAACTTCTAAAAACAAATTTATAGTTGTCTTTGTAAAGAAATATGTAGCTTTGGAGCCGCTGCTGTGATGCTTGCAGTGTGAATACTCTGGCGAGTCTGCATCTACGGTGACAAAGTAGTTACGCTGACGTGAAGCTGATGCGAAGCTCGAGCTTGAGGTGTTGAACGGGCGTAATGACAGCAGACATTCACAGCCAATCCAGCAAAGGATGCATCCCGGAAAAACTATCAGTATGGATCTTTGGCGATAGTTCCTGCAATCAACTAGTGCCGATTAATCAGTCAACCTCTAATGTTATCTGTCCACAGTCTCTGTTTCTTTTCACAGTGTGTTCAGCGAGAGGGAAACCCTAGTATCAGATATAAAGCAGGCATAAAGTTGAGTTGACTAATCTACAGCCGCAGTCTGAAAGGAAGACCTGCTCACCGTAAAACATACACACACACACACACACAGGTTTGTTTTTGTGAAAAGTAGGGACATCCCATAGGCGTAATGGTTTTTATACTGTACAGACCGTATATTCTATTGCCCTACACCAACCCTACACCTAAACCTACCCCTCACAGGAAACTTTGTGCTATTTCAGATTTTCAATACACTCCATTCTGTGTGATTTATAAGCGTTTTGAAAAGTGGGGACATGGGGTAATGTCCTGAAAAGTCACCTTCTCCTTGTAATACCTATGTCATACCCTTGTCATTATACAAATTTATGTCCTCATTCGTCACAAATACGTGCACACACACACACACACACACACACACACACACTCGAGGAGAGAGACGAAGGGAGACATGAGCACAGAACAGAGGGAATTTGAGGTCTATGAAATGAGATTGTGGGTCAAAACCTAGTGAACTATCTACATGGACATTAAAATCTGCCTTCAAATCTGGCCAGTCTGGTGCATATTATTGGTGGTTACCTTTACAAACAGTTGTCATGTTGGATGTGTGCCTTAACATGTTTATTTAAAATGCAAATTAACACATTTCCTCAGTTGCAATAGTTGATTGCAACTGTAATCGTTTAATTTCTCACTTGCATGCATTATAAACCAAACAGGAAGACGTGTATGTATTGCAAAGAGGATGTTTCAGTTAAGCTTTAATGAAGACGAATCACGTGAGGCGGTTGCATGTAGATGCTAGTGAACTCTTTTGTTTGGGCTAGCATGGTTTTCTGCACGTTCAGTGAGTTTGTATTGTAAACTGCACTCTTAACATTTTGCTGTCACTGCATAATGAAGTGTTTTTATACATGATTTACGAAATGCACTGCTGGTGCCATTCTTGATAAATGCTTGATGTGTGTGTGTGTGTGTGTGTGTGTGTGTGTGTGTGTGTGTGTGTGTGTGTGTGTGTGT